GGAAAGAGTCCTTCGTGCAGCAGTCCCAGGTGGGCCCCGGAGGCCGGGGGCGTGCGGGGAGGAAGGAGCTGACCGCCTGCCGGCCCTCCCTCTGCCCACACTGTGCCTACCCCCAGAACGAGCTGCAGCAGATCCGACTGTCCTTTGAGAGGAAGAAGATGGCCATCACCGAGGTGCCCACCTGCAAGGGTGGGAGGGGGCACTGGGGCAGCCACCTGTGACGTGCATCCTGTGTGGGTCCCGCTCCTTGGGGCGTGACCCAGCCTCCACCCTCCACCAGGTGTGGGACGGCGTGGCTGAAGTACACATGGCCCTGAACAACCAGGCCACCGGGCTCCTGGTAGGTTCCTAAAGGCGACACCCAGAGGATGAGGGGGCTGGGTGGGGGCAGTGGGGTTGCGGGACCAGCTTTACCCTCTCTGCCCCCCAGAACCTCAAGAAGGACATCCGGGGTGTGCTGAACCAGATGGAGGACATCCAGCTGGAGATTCTGGGGTGATGTGCAGGGTTGGGAGCCAGCGGGGCCTGGCTGAGCCGGGATGGGGGTAGGTGTCCAGGTCAGGATGGGATGGACCAATCCCTGACCCCTCCCCAATTCCCCTGCACCAGACCAGGTGGTGCCAGGCTGAGGTGGGGGGTACACATGGCGCTGACTGTGCACTGCCCCCCGCCCCCGCGCTAGGGAACGGGCCCAGTGCCGCAGCCAGGTCAGGAAGGAGCAGCAGATGGCGTGCGTAGGGGTAAGTCCCCCACCCCACCCTCTCCCTGGAGGCCCCGCTTAGGGAGCTGGAGAGGATCCCTGTGACCAGAATCACCCTTGTCCTGGGGGAGAGCAGGAACTGGCTCTGACTCAGCCCCTCTCCCGCAGAAGGCGCGGCCGCAGCTGGGATGTTCCGAGGGCCTCAAAGGCCAGCTCTGGTAGGTGGCCGTCCGAGCTCAGGGGCAGAGCCCAGTCCCCAGGGACTGTCCCCTGGGTGCCCCCGCCCCCTGACCACAGCCGTCCACAGGCTGCTGGCCCTGAGGTTGCTGCTGGGCGCCCTGCTAGCCTGCACCACCGCCTACGTGTACGTGGTGGACCCCGCGCCCTTCGAGGGGCTGGTGCCGCCCCTGCTGAGCCGCACCACCGTCTGGAAGCTCCGGACCCTGCTGGGCCCGTTCCTGCGCCTTGAGGTGGACGACTTCCTGCCCTTCTAGGCCGGAGGCCCAGCAGCCCCAGCGAGGAGGAAGCAAGGCAGCTGGTGTGGCCCAGGGTGCCCAGCGGCTGTGCCAGCCCCCACCCAAGGCACTGCCACGCACCGTCCCAGCCCAGAGCCTTGGAGGAGGGTGGAGGCGGGGTCTGTCCTGAGGGCTGAGACCGCGACTGGACATATAGTAGTGACACAAGGCCTGTGCACTTGTTTCCATGGAAACGGGGGCGGGGCACAGGAGGCTTTGCCGCCTTCTGAGGCGGATCTTGCAGTGAGGGTCTCTGCCTCGTCCCTAGGGTCCCACTTGCAGTGGCTCCCCTGCCTCGTCCCCCAAGCCCCATCCGCTGCCAGGGCAGCCTCTCCACAGGACGCCCCCAAACCGCCCTGGCCACCAGAAGGGCTCTGAGCAGAGGGTGTGCAGAAGGGGCTCCACTGAAAGTGAGGCCCTAAGGCCTCATCCCTGGGACTGGCGGACCTCGGGGATCAGGGACCCTTCACATAAGCCTGGGGCTCTGCTGACCCTTCACATAAGCCATGTCCCTGTCTGGCTGACCACCCCCCTTCTCAAACCAGCCCAGCCACCACCCGGCCCCCGGCTCCTGTTCCCTCCCCACCCCAGGGTCCCTGTCCAGTCCAGCCTCCTGGTGCTTCCCAGAGGCTTGGAGGACAGGGGGACCACGCTGGTGGACAGAGCCATGGAGGTAAACACCAAAAATTTTATTTAGTGCATTAAACTGGGGCGGGGCAATACCTTTTAGAACAATAGAGAATAGCTTTGTGGATGCTCACCCCCAAGTGGGAGAAACAGAGCCGCTGCCCAGGCAGAGGGGACGGCCAGGGCCCAGCCCTGCCCCTGGGAGCGTCCAGGCCCAGCCGGCTGGGGGCTGCAAGGCTGGGGGTGGCAGGGCCCTCTGAGCTCGCCAGGTGCAACATCTCAGAGTGAAGGAGTGAAGACCACCCGGGCAGGGCCGGTGGGCTGGGGTCTCCTCCAGCTGGCAGCTCCAGGAGCTTAAGGCATCTGTTCATGTGCTGGGTGCAGGGAGGGGGGAGTGTAGCGACCTGCAGGGGCGACCTGAGACCCCCACCCAGCCCAACCCACAGAGGCCGGGGCTCCCTGGGAGGAAGTGGCGTGTAAAGTGCTTGGTCAGGCAGGGGGATCAGGTGATGGTGACACCCGGGAAGGCTGTGCTGGTCCCAGCAGCTCCAGGGCCCCCACCTGGGGTTTTGAACCCTCTGCAGCAGGTGGGGACTTCCTGAGCTGGGAGGGCACAGGGTCACGGGCCCTGGTGGGCTCGGGGTCAGTCAAGGTGCAGCTGGTGGAGAGGGGACACCCAGCCCACACCCTAGGGTCCGCGGCAGCCTGGCCTCTTGGGCCCCGGAGTCTCCTACTTGGTGTCCCGCTCGGGCCCTGAGAGGCTGGGGAAGAGGCTGGAGGCGGCCAAGTGTAGACGGCACACGGCCCCCCGGGGGGGCGCCCCAGTGGCCGGGCTCCAGGGGACCCGCAGTGACGGGCGGTCCACCGGGAGGCCGAGGTGGCACAGGTGCAGGCCGGGGGGCACCCTGGGCTGGCCACGCCGCCCCCATCCACGGCTGCAGGTGCCGATCCGCCCCCTGTGGGTTGCAGCGTCCCGTGAGAGAGAAGCAGAAAGGCGGAGGTCAGCAAGGGGCAGAGCTGCCCGGTTCAGGGTCTGAGGACCCACTGGCCTCCCACGCATGGCCAGCCCCTGCCCCGGTCCCCCAGTCCCTGAAAAGCTGTGGATTCCTGACGCCCCCACCCCGGACACTTGCAGGGGGGACGGGAGATGAGTTCCAGTCCGCGCAGCTGCAGGACAGGCGGGCACTCCCTGCTCCTGGGATCCTGGGGCCCCTGGGGCAGCTGCAGTCCCAGCTTCTCTCCAAACGTCCTGTTACTGCCAGGGATGACGCAGACCCAGGGAAACCTCAAGCTTGTCAGCCAGAGAACCGCCGGCCAGCCCCCACCCCCCAGGCCTCCAACTTGGCTTAAGTCCACGGAAACGCCCACGCAGAACGTCCACGCCCGGACTATCTGCCACCACCTCTCCCGGAGCCTGACCCCCTCTGCCCCCGCCCGGAGCCCCTGGCCTTGCTCAAGGAAAGGATCAAAATGACTCTTTTTCTTTTTTTAATAAAATTATAGATATATAGATGTAGATATAAAAACATAAAACAGACACAACGCAAGCGGACGCTGCCGTGTGCTTACTCTCGGGTCCCTGGCGCCAGACAAAACTCCGACCCCTCCCCGATGTGCTTTCCACGTGGGCGCCCAGGCTCCAGCAGGGCCTGGACTTTGCATGCCTCAGGTGGGGGTCTCCAGTTTGCAGGGAGGGGACTCGGGGTCACGTGGGCCCCCTGTGGCGGCATCCGGCCTCCTGTGCCCGCTCCCCCTGCCCCCGTCACCTCCCACAAGAGCATAAAGCAAAGATTAAGGCTTCAATTAAAGCGAGTTTCCGGGCAGTGGGGGCAGCGGGGGCCCGAGCGTGAACACATGGGATGTGGCATGGCAACTCAGCGCACAGACACGGGGACGCGCCCACCAGCTGGGCGAGACGAGACACACGGAGCCAGGACCCCACCCACAGCTGGCTGTCTGTCCGTCTGTCCATTTGTGCACCTGTCCGTCAGAACCCAGAGCAGTCCCGAAGCTGGGTGCCTGTGGGCCGGGCCTGGACTCCCTGCAGAAGAGTGGGCCTTGCCAAGCTACAAGCTTCCAGCGGGTCCCTGAAAGGCAATGGTTAGGAGCAGCTGGGCGGTGGGGCCCTCGGTCTGGGAGGACGGCCAGGGGCCCAGGCCTCTCTGTCCATCTCTGGGCCACAGTGACCCATGTGTAAGGGAAGTGGGTAGGGACTGGCCTGGTGACAACCTGTGCAGTCCACGCCCCCTTGCTGCCCCAGCTCGCGGGAGCAGGGCCACCAACACGCAGGTCCTGCAGCCTCATGGCCCTTGGCCCAGCCGTGCCCTGGTGAGCAGGTGAGTGGATGCACGGGCTGAGGACGAGGGACGGGCCCGTGGAGGCGTAGTCCTCCTCCCGCTGCTGCGTCCTCACCAGGCCTGGGCCTCCTCTCCCGGGGCAGAGAAGTTGGGGGGGGCAGCCGCTGTGGTAGGGGGTCCTGGCTCCCATGGCACCACGGCGACAGGTGGCAGTCAGTCCTCACACCGAGATCTCGTATGTGGTCCCACCCACTCCGGACACCTTCTTAACGAGCGTGTGCCGGGCGGGGCTGGCGGAGGGCCCTGGGGGGCCGGTGGCAGGCCCCAAGCGGGCCAGGCCCGGGGACTGCCCATTAAGCTTACTTGGGGGGGTCTTCAGCTGAGGGTGGTCCCTGCATCAAAACAAGCACACACACGCACACACACGGTGAACACGGGACCATGGCAGGACAGGGGCCAGCGGAGGCAAGAGGACAGAGGACACAGACACAGACGGAGCACTGGGCAGCCCCTGCCTCTGACCCTGGACGGTCCCACATGGAAATGGGTGGGGGAGCAGAACCTGCCAGGGGAGGGCCGTGCTGTCACAGGACAGACAGATGTCAGAATGGCCACCATCCCCTCCCAGGCCTCTCGGCACAGAACACAGAACACAGGGAGGCCAGGTGGATGCTGGCCGGCGAGTCCCTAGACCCTGCCCTGTCCTGGTGCCCTGAGCTGGGAAGCCCAGCATTGATGATGTGGCCTATTCCCTGCTCCCTCCAAGGGAAACGAGGGGCTGCCCTTCTGCCCTCCAGCCTGCCCAGCACTGACCAGTAGCATGGACCTCGCTGCCCAGCGTTCATGCGGGCAGGAGCTCCTCCCTCCCTGGGCTGCCTCACAGCTGCCCCCTCTGGGCCTGTCACACGCACAACAGGAACCTCCTCGTCAACTGAGCCTGTGCTCACGGCAGCCAGGTGAAGCCCTGGTGAGCAAACGTGCCCAGCAGGTGCTCAGCTCTTGTACTTGGGCCTGGGACCAGCCTGCCCTTCTGAGACTGTTTGCCCATCTCTGAGCAGGGAAGCCCTTGCTTCCTGGGGCTGTGTGCCCCCCGAGGGCCAGGACAGTGGTGCCCAGAGTGGCATGTTTTGCTGTGGGAGGATGGTCGCCCAGACTTGGCCTTCTGGACATGGACAGTGGCACCATCTCTAGAGGAAGAACCCTAGGGTCCCCCACATGCTGGGTCTGTGCCAGCCAGGGGAGAGTGTGGGTGTTGGGCTCAAGATGCAAATTCTCCTGCCCCTGGTCCCAGGACATGCCAAGGCGCCCTTGGAGACGGGCTACCCTCACACTGGCCGCCAGGATCCTCCAAGGTGGGTGAGGCCCACCCCCCTAGGTAGCCTCAGGCCTCCTGGGCAGCCCCCACGTGCTTGGCCAAGAGGCCCTGCAGGCAGCCAGATACCTGCCCTGTGCCCTGCAGCTGACCGCACCCTGAGCACCCACCTCTGCACAGACAGCGAGGGCGGCGGTTCTGGGAGCTCCGCTTGGATGAAGGCGACGGCTTTGGGGCCCACGTAGGAGGGCGAGCGGGGAGTGCTAGGTGGGGACGGAGGGACCTGGCGCACGGGCGACCTGTGCGAGCCGCTGGCGGGCCGGGCCCCCGGGGCCCCACTGTTGGCCAGGTCTGCCTGCAGGGAGGAAGAGGAGGTCCGCGGCGCCCGGCTCACGGCACTGGACAGTGAGGACAGCGACGCCTGCAGCGCAGGGTTGCGGGCGCCCCCGAAGCCGGGCCCGGCCACCAGGTCGTCCCTGGAGCTGCAGCGCAGCGCAGGGCCACGGGGGCCCTCAGACAGCACGCTGGCCTGCTGCAGGCTATAGGAGCTGGGTGCGTCGTAGACGCCCGAGTCGCCAAAGAGCGAGTCAGCCTGAGAGCGCAGCAGCCGCTCACGCTCCTCCCTGTCCTTGCGCTCCTGGATGGAGGCCATGATGGTCCTGGACAGGTTGTCGTAGCGCACAGGCGAGGGCTCCCGAGGCCGCAGGCCCAGCACGGGGCTGAAGCTGCGGGGTGGGGGCCGTGGTGGGTCGCCTGCTGCCCCCGCGTGCAGGTAGGGCGAGCGGTAGCTGGCTCCGCCAGCTGAGGGG